CTACTTGAGGCTTTTCTTTGTTAAGTTACAGGGCAAAGTTGTGTAGGGTAAGTGAATTGGTCGGTCAGCTGGCCTCTTGGCTATCACCTGCGGCCTCGGTTGTGCTAATGGAGGCTCTCAGTGGGTGGGCTCATTGTAAGCATGCTTAACGGTGGACACCTGGGGTGTGTTGAGGGCTTGCGTGAGTGGGCGGGCCCGCGTCTCATGGAAGAGGGCTGCGGCGGAACTGCTCCTTGTGGGTGAGTGAATACCGAGAGGCAGGACCACAAGAGAACACCAGAAAGACCCCAAAGAGAAATTCGCGAAGGGGTTGGGGCTGAGGGAGAGGTAGGGTTAGGACGCCTGACCCCCAACCCCTTTCCCCAACCTCCCGGTTGTGGGCTTGCCCCACAACAGTTGGCTAAGAAGAGCATTAAAGCCTGAAAATGCCACTGAGGCCTCCAAAGTTGTCTTCTAAGCAGCCTGAATCTTGGGTGAGTCTACCTGTCCTGGAATGCTACAAAACAGTTGAGGATTGCTAGCATCAGGGTGATCCCATCAGTATTTAGTGGTGTCGGGGAGTGTCAGGTGCCAAGCTTGCAAAGAGTGAAGCAATATAAAGATTTGGGGATCTTGGTAAAGTTTTAAATGCTACATAGAACCCGAGGAGAACCTCTCTTTGAATGTCTTGTTGATTGCCTGAAGAAATAAAAGTAATTAGGATGAAAAAAAATTCTTAAATACTCTTGCTTATGAAATGTGTGACAGTGTAATGTGCAGGTATACTTTATCAGAAAATCTGTGTATCAATTTGTGGTTGAATAAATCTAGTTGTTTCCAAGTTGCAAAATTCCCCTCGGGAAACTGAGGAAAATTAGGTCAATATTCCAACGCAGGAAGGTAGAACTTTGAGATGAGTGCTGGCAAAGAGGGAGAGCCCCACCACAAGTGGTTAGGATAAACAGGACCAGAAAAGTGAGTAGAAATGTTAGTTGATTTTAGGAAAATGCTAATAGCAGGAAGAAATTAAATCCATTAGAAGCAAGAGTTTCTGTTTCATATGTTTTGAATCACATTGTGGTGATCTCAGCTCATTATCCTAGTGGGAAGATTCACGATCATAGTGAGCTGGCCAAAAGTATTAGGTTGAAGTGTAAATCTATTGTATCACTCAAGACTTGTTCTGCTCTTTCTCCATGTGGATTATTTTATTGTTTAAGAGGCTCTCAATAAGAGAAGTCAGAAAACAAAAGGCAAAGCAACTGTGTCAGCACCAGCACTAAAGAAAAGCCTAAAATGTAGGTTTTGAGAATTAGGGTCTTATTCACCCCATAATATAGGAAAGAGTTTCTTTGTCTATTTTCGGTGTTCTTTTTTACTGAGTTTACTACTCTGAGCATTGTGACAAGCTCCAGAATAATGACCTATGCAGTGTATCATTAAACGTTCAGTCAGACAGATACAGATGGATGAGTATGTGTTGCACAAAGACAAATCAGCATTATTTAATCAATGTTTGTTTGATCCGTGTAAAACGAGTATAAATGTAAGCTGTATCCCATCTGTTTTATCATCCATGTGAAGCCAACCTCATTTTTAAAATTTGATTTCTTATGTAATTGTCCCAAAATGACACAGGATGATCAGTTGGGAAGAAATATCTTTCGGACTAGTGCAATAAAGAATAGTGTTTTTTTGTTTTTGTTTTTGTGGATTTCATATGTTGGACTTCTTAAATGTGCAGTGGCTTTTGGGATAGTGAAGTAGCGTCCTGGCTTGGTAATTACCAGCTGTAAATCATTTAGCTGGGCTTTGAATCACACAGACCTGAGTTTGAAGTAAATGTATGAAATCACACAGACCTGAGTTTGAAGTAAATGTATGAGTGTAGCTGGGTGAGTAAATTAGTTAACCACCAAATACCACAGTACCTGCCACCATGAAGACCCTCAGTAAGATTTGTTGAATCCATTTTTTTTTTTTTTACTTCAACTTCTGAGTCTGTCAAATGGAGAAAACAATACCTAGGCCTCTTAACATTTATGATATTAAATAGGATGCTGCATGTAAAACACAATGGTCTTGCAGCTATTATTATAATTTTCTTATTACAGGTCATGTTTTTATGGTTCATACCATAAGCTTAAACATATAAACATATGTGACATACAACTCATGCTTCCATTATTGGTTTTTAAACACCTCACTGTAGGTACCAAATAAATGTTACAGAGGGTTGCAAATGATGTGCAACAAGAGTAGTATTGGACAAGAATAAACATAGTCTTGATATGCACTTTCATTAGTATAATTAAATTCATGCCATTTTATGCATCTGCGAGTGATTAGAGTCTGAGTAAGAAGGTCATAAAATGGAGTAATACCCTACACCAAAGGACTGCATATCAGTGAGCTTAGCAGCTTCTGGGGATATTTTAAAGAATGATGTGTAAGAAGCTTATGTAGTCAGCAGTGTTCATCAGTGGAAAGTGGAGTATCATTGGAAGTTGTAATTTCAGGATAACATACTTCATTACTTAGACATATAATCATGAGTGTTAAAGTATTAAATTTATAAAGTACATTGTGCATTGCAGTTTCTGTAGTTCTCTGACTCCCATGTATTATGGAAGTATTACTGTTTTCTCTTTATGAATTTTCGTCAACAGCCTTCATTTACCAATTCAGTTCATTCATGTAAAAACATGGTCCAACCATTCACTGAGCCAAGTACAGGGTACATGCAAAGATGAGCTTGATGTGTGTATGTACTCTGGCTAAGAAATTTAGAATTTATGCCATAGGTCAGCTAGAGCCAGTGAAAGTTCTTAAGCAGAGCCCTAACATTTTCGGGGATGGAGCTGTAAAAGGATCGCTTTAGTGTAAAGAATGGGACTTAAGAGTCTGTAGTGATGGCTGATAGGTGCCGTGGTAATGGGAGAATTATGGGGACTACAGCTAGGGGAGAAGTCAAATATTGTACAAAATAAAGAACAAAGCATGGATGGTAAAGAAGTTAGAGGGATTCTGATTATCCTCAATACTGAAGGTCTGGGTTTAGGAAGTAGCAATTGAAGTAGATTTGGGAAATTTTAGCAACTCTTGGTCACTGAATACAGCTGCTTGTGTGGATATGTTCAAAGTGAAATTGAAGGCTTCCAGCCAGGCTTCTCAGTGCCTAAGATTACTTTAGCTCAGGGAAAATTCAGAATAGTAAATTCTGCATGGGAGATGATGTGCTTCCCTGAAAGAACAAATTAGAAAGACCCCTAATTAAATTATTCTTTAGAGTCTAAGGCATGGCTAATTATTATGCTGAACACTATTCACTGAATGACTTGTTTATATATAAATTAGCATAGGTTAAGAAAGGGGAAAAAAGTTTTATAAGCCTTAGTAAATTAGAGGCCACAATCTGTGTTTCTGAGGATTTTAGACTGCTTGAAATTGTTTAGAGGCCGTTTGAAATTGCTAATATGCTTGACGATACACTTAAGAGTTTTTCTATGTACTATATTCTCTTCCATTCAATACGGAGCATTTGTATCTTTAATACTATCATCACTCTTGGATATATATTTACTTTGGAGTTCTATAAATGTGAGAACATGGAAAACCCATCATTAAAAACAAATGGTAAACATCCTATTAATAATTTTGTGCTTTAAAAAAAAAAGTCACTTGATCACCTTTATTTAAACCTAACCTACATATTTTTGAAAACTTGATTTTGATCATTTGTATGCTCACTATGTAATTATATCACTATGTAATTACTGAACTCATGTTTTCATACATTATGAAAGTTTATCTTTAAAAGTTGCCATTTGTTGAAAGATGTGATCTCCAAGCACTACAAGAAAAGCTGCCTATAGTTAAAAGCTGTCTATAGTTTTATAATTAAGTCTGGATTCAGTTTTAAAATAATGGTTCTTAGCTACAAAATATACACAACTTAGGGCTCTCCCTGGTGGTGCAGTGGTTTAAAGCACCACATTATGAAGCTCTCCTAAGACACTGCAGCTGGAGTTTGGTCTTCAACCAGGGAGCTGACCCACATGGCATGGCAGACCTCTCCTGACCTACCTACTGCTCCCCTCATCAGTGTACTTTTTCAATCTGCCTGTTATGCTCCCCACTCTGTCTCTGATGATTCCTCTCAGCCATCACACCTCTGGCCTGTACCTCAGTTCTATAAGCATACATAAATATATATTTTTTAAATATATACACAAAGTATATCTGTGATACTTCTCTTAGATTATTGAATAACATTGAATGAACTAAGGCACCAAGAAAAGACATTAAAATCAAAGTAGTTAAGTTTAAAATGAAAAATAAAAAGAAGCAAACTTTGTAAGCGTAACACATGATGGTAAATAGAAAACGAGCAATGGTAAATAGAAAACAATTAGCTCCTGTCTACATTGCGTTGTAAATTGATATTCTGTCCAAAATGATTTAGACTGAACTGGCCTTCCTTCTTTACTGTTACTCTTAAGAAGTTGTCAAAATTGCCTTGTGATTCTAGCCATAGTTGTTATGAGGAAACAGACCCAGTTTAAGTTGCCATCAAGATGGAAGGCAGTAGTTGAAGAAAAAGCAGTCAAGCATAAGAAGTCGGTGAAAAATCAGTCAACTTAAAGACTAAGGGAAAATAATCAAGATAAAATAATGTTCACTGAACCTGAAGGAATATTAAGCCAAGATAACTTGTAAACTGTAGCAACAGAGAACAATGGAATGAACAATGAAAAATAAAAAAAAAACCTGCCTTTCTTTTTTTGACAGAACATCTATACTGAGTTCTTTTCACTTGAATCCAAGTTAGTGACTATTTCCTTTATTACTATGGTTAATCATCTTAAGCTGGTTATATTAATGTTCAGCTTTCACTGTTAGCATCATCTCGATGGACTGTGGCTTCAAAATCCTTTTAAATCATGTTTGTGACTTATGATAAATGCCTGTAATTCAGTGTCATTCAGTATTTTGTATTTGTGCTGTTTTTTTCTTTACAGTCTATTGACCCTGGCCAGCAGTTCACCTGGGAACATTCAAACTTGGAAGTAAACAAACCAAAGAATAGATATGCAAACGTCATTGCATATGATCATTCCCGAGTTCTCCTATCAGCAATAGAAGGTAAGGAAATTAAGTAATTGATACCTTTATTTTCTTGAGTTTAAGTATGTGTCTGAAATACAGTTTTTGCTGCCTACGAAAATGTTTACTTAAGAATCAGGTATTGGTTGTACTCACTTTCCTTTACACATCTATATGCCATGACAGACACACAATATTCCTAGCCCCATGCATGAGCATCCCTAATTATTTTTCTTGCTTCTAGCCTACATGGAAATTTGATAGTTTATATATGCAAAGCAAATTCAGGTTGCCCATTTTACTGACAGCTGTTGATGTTGATGCATGAACACGTGAATGTCAAAAGATGTCCTTAGACTAAACAGGTTATATAATTAAAAATGAGTAGTAGGTGGAGACAAGGTTTGACTTATTTGTGAATAAATCTGTTTATCACTAGGGATGATCTAAAGGTTAGGAGTGGGTGATGTGATTAACACAAATTAAGCATATTGGAAATGTCTGGTGCATCTAATTTGTGGACTGTTTGGTAATCTATTTCTCACAATGGGGGTAAAGAATGAATTTCAGGGGAAATGATTGCTCTGAAAGGATGGGAATTACTCTTCAAATCTATTTCTCGGAAGGACTGATGAGGGTATTTTCTGTTTATCCCTATCATGTGGTGTATTAAAAATAATTAAGACTCAAGTCCAACGCTCAGCATTTTGGCAGCCTTTTTGGCCATAGTAACACAGTGTACTGCTGTCCTTAGAAATCAGTTTATATTGTCACTTAGCTCCTTCCTCTGCCATAGCCTGGAACACCACCTGCTACACCCCATTCATCCTCACTGGTGTCTGGAGAGCTTCGTGGTCTTTTCACATTTGAAAGGCCATTGTCTAATCATACCAGTTTTTTGATAAAACACCAAATAATACTCAACAATTTCCAGAACCCTATATTTCGAGCATTTTTATCTACATTTGCTCAAGAATCTTTCCCCTTTTATCTGCTTGTAAAATGTATGATGATCGCTAATAAATGTCATTATTACTCTAATTTATACATTATTGCCAAGTCCTACGTACCTCCTTGGTGTCCAGAGTTAATCTGAAAGTGAGATTCTGCTTCAGATTTGTTGCTGTAGGCATTGGAGGTGACTAGTACTTTATTTATAGTATGGGAGCAGCAAGTAAACATGGCCATACCTAGCGCTCTCTCCTCAAGGTAGTATTATTTTATGGAGCAAAGGTATATTTTGTAAAGGTCTCATATCCAATTTTACTATTTTATTGGAAAATATAATCCCTTTTGGAGGTGACTGAAGATACTAAATGACCAAGAATTCTTTTACCAACTGAAAAAGATTGACCAGGTTTATCAACATTTTACCAGTGTTAAGTTAAATCAGGATAGTGTCAAACAGAAAATCAGTACATTTGAAGTAATTTTAAAATTGTGATTAGTATATGTGGATAACTAGAATATCATCTTTATATACCATTTTCATTACTCATTTGTTTTCATTAAAAAAATAGCAGTTTATTGTCTCAAGTCTCTTAAATTATCTCCTCTATAAATAAGAAACTCAGCCAAGTCACAAAGTAGTAAAAAATCACTTTTTTTTCATAAGTGACCAAATTGAATTTTATAAATAAAACAAGAGTGTGAACGAAGACCCCTTATGGCCTGATCTTGCTTGGAGAACTGTCAGCCTGCCTTGCTGCATTATAGTGTTGTTTCTTAGAGAATTAGGTCATTCAGTTCTACTGCTTCCCTATACTTTTCCTGCTTTGTCATTATATTCCTTAACCTGTTATTTTCTACCATCTTAACAGTAAAGTATGTCAAAGGACAAAGAATACACCTTCTTGCATTATGTTATGGTAGTTGGAAGCTATGTACATTTCATTCCTACACTATTTTTACAGTATAAAAGCTAAAGCACTTGAAGCAGACTAAAACCTAGTTTTTTTTATAGCTTTGTGCCCACAGATATACCCCAAATCTAGAGCTGACCTAGAAACCAAAAGTCTTTGAATTTTTAGTGTTATGCAAAAGATTTAAAGTGTTTAATTGAAATTTATGAGCTATTCACAGAGCTTAATGTAGGTTACACATGAACAGCATTTTATCTTAGAGTAAGCTCCAGCCAGCAGATATTTAAGGAGGCAAGCAATCATCCTATATCTTAAATACAGATGAAAAAATGAATGGCAACTAGAATTAAGAATTGCTAACCTAAGATTCGTCTAGGAAGGGAGCATTGATAACAGAAAGTCATGTTTTTCAAGTATGTTAAAATGAAACATTTTCACTGAACATTTTGGGGAATTTTGCTTGGTATTCTTCCCTCTGTGGGCTGAGCAGTTTTGTTTGTTTGTTTGTTTGTAAACCTTTCAGAGTGACATGCCACACACTTAGAACAAAGCTGGGATTTGCCATAGGGTCTTATTGTGTCTTTAATAGAACAAACTTATTTTTTACTTCCACGGAGAGATAGATGATGGGGGAATTGCACATGGACACATTCATATGCTTATTGTACTTCGAAAAGTTGTGACATTTCATAACAGATTTCCAGATTGCAGTCATTTTATTTATTTGGGGAAAATGGAGAATAAACTAAAGGGAGGCCTGATTAAAGAATCTCACAATTTTTGAGTTATTAGATAAGCATTAGAGAAGCACAATTGAAATTTTTACTAATCAAATTACTGTCCAGATCCCCTACATGTTTCAGCAGTTTCAAAGAGAAAATATTAATTCCTGAGGAAAAGAGGTGTTAGAATTTATTCCAGTGACTTAAGGTAAATATTTTCAAATATGGACTTCATAGGAACTGATACTTACATTGCATCAAAAGAATAAATGTTAGTTTGCTTATTCTTTTAGATCTGAAGTTGTCCAGGAGAATAATTTTATTAAAAGAGGAAAAAAGAAATGGACAAACCAACTGATGAAGAACAAGAAAATCTTGGTTTTTATAGCTCTATCACTGACAAGTTATATAATGTTGACTCCTAAGACTCAGTTTCCACAGCTCTAACCTCATTCACTTCTGAGTTATCATTGTAGAATTTACTAATCAGTAACCTGTCAGTGATTTAAATGTATCAGAGTCCTACAGAAGTAAGGTGCATCTATTCCTAACAGATTCCACCAATGGTATACTGACCTCTGGTATCATTTTATGGGTCTTCAACTTCTTTTAAAGCGAGGGGTGTCAATTAATGGCAGACTATATTGTAATACCTTGTAACTAGTAAAAGTAGATGTGATTATAACAGGCCTGGTTTATATGGTTTTATTTGAGAGTTAGACATGACAAAGTATAATGCACATGTCAAATGCAAACAACTATGCTTATTTATCTTTTTTAAAAAAGATTTATTTATTTATGCATACAGAACCCGGGGTACAGGCCAGAGGTGCAGGGGTGGTGGTAGGCTTCACCAGAGACAGAATGGGGAGCAGAACAGGCAGATCAACAAAGTACACTGCTGAGGGGAGAAGTGGGTGAGACGGGAGAGGTCTGACACCATGTGGATCATCTCCAGGGCCAGGATGCTGGCTTGCAGTGCTGCATCCTAACCCATTGTGCCACGAGGGAGGGTCTGCTTAGATACTTATAAAAGAAATTTGGGGAAATATGTTTTATTTTCTGGTGTGGATGCACTTATATTACAGTTCAAAGCATAAAAGTATGTGTCCACTTCTCTTTAGTAAATACCTTCTTAAAAGGGTCTTAAAAGGGACCATGTGCTTCTGAAGAATGTCTTTCCTATTAAAGCCTCTGAGATTCTTTTGAAGAGCTTATGTGTGCAAACTACTGTGCCTTTTTTCTCATCTATTTAATATATTTTATACAGTCTAATCTTAACACAGTAAGATTAATAATAGAATTATTAGTATTTAATAAAGTGTTCTTAGTAAAACACTTCAAAAGTTTTTTGGCACAAAGAAAACACCTAATAAAATTTGGAAAGTATTAAGATTACCATTGGGGTTATTATGAATTTCATTACTATTATAGATAGGTCATTTTGTCCTATCTATAGGTAAAGGAAGTTGTTTGCATATGACCTGTGGAATAATTAATATCCAAATAACAAAACTGCATATATTTAGAGTACTCTGTGAAACAGAAGAAAACCAGACCCATAATAGCATTTCAATAGGGAAAAATTTATTGTTTTACATGGAAATCCAAAATATATTATCTGCTGTTTGCTTTGCTTATTAAGAGCAATTCTTAAAAATCCAGTTGTAAATCATATAGATGAGGTTACCACTTTATCATCTGTGAGAAGGGCAATTTAGCACCTTTAAAATGAAGAAAAAGATAATTTACAGCATGGGTAGCATGCATGTCTGATATGTCTGATAAATTTTCAACAAGTGAAAACAAAAGTAACATCAGAAAGTTGATATTTGTCCAGCATTTTCTAAGAAAATGTTAATTACATTATAGTGACGATAAATATTCCATGTAAAGCTCTAACATCAAAAGTTAAACCTTTTCCCCAGTAGAGGATCCTGTATTAGCTGCCACGTGCTGTGTCCCTCACATGTAGATCCTTCCCTCTCAATTCCCTCACATGTCTCTTGCTGTCGTGTGCCTCTCATACTTTTGTGCGGACATGCCTGGTTTGGTTTCTTTTTTCTTTTTCTGAGATTCTTTTCAAAGACTGAAGGATGCTTGTTAGACTCTGTGACCCATGTGGGGGTAAAAAAATCCACAAACCTTTTTTCTAAGTCCCATCCAATTATTGTTTGGGTTCACTTGTGCCACATATTTTCCAATCATCAGTCATTGACTTACTAGTGTTCAATGAGGATTTGTCATCTCACTTTTCAGGGATTTGTTTACAAGCCTGACAAAATTTGATCCTATAATTTCAGGTTGGTCCTTTGTTTTAATAAATGAAAGCATCTTTTAGGCACAGTATAGAAATTTGTATAGCTTATTTGTCTTAAATAGAAAGCTAGATGGGACTTAGCGTTTGGAAACTTGGAAGAGTTTCCAGCCTAAGCAAAGACTAATGAGAACTATT